GAGGGAGGGAGGGAGGAAGGAAGGAAGGAAGGAAGATGGGAATGAGAGGGAGGGAGGGAGGGAGGGAGGGAGGGAGGAAGGAAAGAACGAAGGAAGGTAGGAAGGAAGGGCCACAGTGGTTGGAATGCAGTATTGCAGGCTGATTCTGCCTGCTGCCAGCAGTTCAGTTCTGACTGGCTCCAGGTCGACTCAGCCTTCCATCCTTCCGAGGTGGGTCAAATGAGGACCCAGATTGTTGGGGGCAAGAGGCTGGCTCTATAAACCGCTTAGAGAGGGCTGGGAAGCACCGTGAAGCTGGATATTAATCTAGGTGCTATTGGGTAGGAAGGAGGGAAAATGAGAAGGACAGGAAACAGGAAGGAAGGAAGGAAGGAAGGAAGGAAGGAAGGAAGGAAGGAAGGAGGAGGGAGGGAAAACAAGGAGAAGGAAGGAAGGAAAACAAGAAGGAAGGAATGAAAGAAGGAAGAGAAACAAGAAGTTCGATCCTGACGGGGCTCCAGGTCAACTCAGCCTTCCATCCTTCTGAGGTGGGTCAAATGAGGACCCAGATTGTTGGGGGCAAGAGGCTGGCTCTGTAAAACCGCTCAAAGAGGTCTGGGAAGCACCACGAAGCGGTATATAAGTCTAAAGGCTTTTGCTATTAAAAGGCTTCCTGAATGTTAGAGAGTCAGAGCAGGTCAGTTGGTCAACCATTTCGTCCCCGTCCCCCACCCCGTCCCGCTGACTGTCACAGAAGCCGCAAAGGCCGCCTACCTTCGACCCGGTTCATCATGGGTGAGCTCCTGGACATGCTCTGGTAGCCCACCGGCGTCCTCCTGGCGTTGGCATCCTCGTAGATCCCGGGGCTGACTTGGGACTTGGGTGCCTCGTGGAGGGTGGAGCGCAGGACGGAAGGACCTGAGCTGACCACCGAGGTGTGGCGAGGACGCACCTCTCCCGCCTTGGGGTCTTCGTGTTTCCCGCGTTCCACTCCCTTCATGTTCTCCGGCAGCATCTCCATGGGGGGCATGCCCCGCGAGAGCTTGCTGGGCCCCGTGATCAGGGACTTGACGTTGTGTTTGATGGCCGACTGGCAGGAGCTGCTCTCGTACTTGATGGGCGTACCCTGCAGGAAGAGGAGGAGGAGAAGGCCGTATAGCGACTCCCTGCAGCCAGATGGGCGCGGTTGAGGGGGGGGGGCGTGGCCATCTGAGTGCTGCCAAGTGGGTGTGGCCAGGGGTGGGCTTCAAAAATTTCACAAACGGGTGAAATTTCCCATAAAAGTATGATATTTAACTGAAAAGTAATGTGTTAAAGTGTTTAAGATATAAATGAATATTAATATTAACGAACAGATTTGTATCGGCATTGATAATGTTGTATAATTTTAGAATGTACCAAACAGAATCCCAATGTAAGCTATGTATTTTATATCAAGTATTATAAATATAGGGGAAAGAGACAAAGGCGTCATACTCCAAGTAGTGTACAGGAGAAGTTTTGTTTAAAGAAGACAGATAAATGGATAGCTGGAAACAGAACAGACAAAGAATAATAAATATTATGATTTGAATCGAGATGAGATAAATAAAATAAAACTAAGGAAATTCAAAAGAGATGAGAAGCTATAGAGAAAATTGAAAATGGTAATAAGATATGGAATGGTATACAAAATGAATATGAATTTGAATTTGTGTCTGTACGAAGAGTTGTAACCCGGGACTAAAGCAACTTTCAGAAAAGATGTTTTTTATGTTTCTATGTTTTGTGTTTTTGTGTGTTTATGTTTGATTGAGTTAATAAAACCTTGGAGGAATGTTAGAAGAGGACAAATGAGAATTAAAGATAGGAGAGAATAAAGCAAGTCAGAAGAAGAAATAAGTATAGTGAATAAAAACATATAAAATAGATAAATATAGAAAAGAAATATAATTGAATAAAAGTAAAGGGAGAAATAATGAGAAACTTGAAAGGATATGTATGTGTTTATTAGGAGATGTGTCAATGGTGTATAAAATGTTTTATTTGTTTTGTTAAAATTTACAAATAACTTTCAGAAAAGAGGTTTTGTGTTCTTATGTTTTATGTTTTGTATGTCTTTAAAAATTAATAAAATTTGTTCAAAAAAAATAAATAAAATTCACCAACGGGTTCTCTGTTCGTTGTCGGGATTCTGGCAGTGACTCCCATTTAAATCCTGAGTCTCGAGCCAAACGTCCAAAACTTCGAAAGGATTTATTGGGAGTTAACATGCCGGCACTACCTGGGTGTAGCCGACTCTGAGGCACATCATTCATTGTCACCCTTGACCCTGGTTTTCTCCCTCCAGCCCTCCCTCCCTCTCTCTCTTTTGCCCTGGTGGTTAAGCGAATCACTGCAGCTGTTCAGTAAGTAACATGGTTGTTAAGTGAATCTGGCTTCCCCGCTGACTTTTCAGAAGGTTGCCAAAGGGGATCTCGTGACCCCAGGACGCTGCCGCGACCGTCATAAATATGAGCCAGTTGCCAAGCCCCTGAGTTTTGTTCACGTGAGGATGCTGCAATGGTTGTAAGTGTGAGAATAGGAGTCTTCAAAGTTGACAGCTTTTAAGACTGGTGAACTTCAACTCCCAGAATTCCTCTTTCTCCAGTCATGTTAGCTCAGGAATCCTGGGAGTTGAAGTCCACCAGTCTTAAACTTGCCAACCCTTTGAAAACCCTTGGAATAGAGAATAGAATAAGAACAGAATAGAATAGAATAATAATAGAATAGAGTAATAATTTGAATAAGAATTTTAAAATAGAATAGAATAGAATAGAATAGAATAAGAATTGAATAAGAATTTGAATAAAATTTTTAGAATAGAAGAATTTGAATAATTTTTTTTAGAACAGAATAAGAATAGAATAAGAATTTGAATAAGAATTTTAGAATAGAATAAGAATTTGAATAAAATTTTTAGAACAGAATAGAATAAGAATTTGAATAAAATTTTTAGAATAGAATAAGAATTTGAATAGAATAGAATAAGAATTTGAATAGAATAGAATAAGAATTTGAATAAGAATTTTAGAAAAGATTAGAAAGAATAAGAATAGAATAAAATAGTAGAATAAGAATAAAATAGAATTTGAGCAGAATAGAATAAGAATTTGAAAAAGAAATTTAGAATAGAATAGAATAAGAATAAAATAAAAATAGAATAAGAATTTGAATAAGAATTTTAGAATAGAATAGAATAAAGAATAAATTAAGAATAGAATAGAATAAGAATTTGAATAGAATAAGAATTTGAATAAGAATAGAATAAGAATTTGAATAAGAATAGAATAAGAATAAGAATAGAAGAATAAGAATAGAAGAATAAGAATAGAATAAGATTAGATTAAGAATTTGAATAGAATAGAGAATAGAGAATTTTTTTGCACTGCTGTCGAACAGTCACTAAACGAGGACTACCTGTATTAGAACAGTCATAAGTCAAGGACTACCTGTATTAGAAGAACAGACAGCTGTCTATCTACGATCTGGAGGTTTGCCCCGAATAGGGGTGAGACTTTGTGACCTCAACAGTCCCTTCCAACTCTTTAAAAAAAAAAACCCTTGCAGGATCTGATTGGTTCTCCAGCGTTTTGCTCTCACCTGCGAGATGGACCCTTCGATGATGGGGCGGACATTGGGGACCATCTCAGGGTTCTTCTGGCTTTCCTGATTTAACAGCTCCTGCCGGGGAATCTCGTGGATGGAGCGGCCCATCTCCTTGATGGTGGTGACCCCGTCGTAGAGTTTGCCCTTGGCGATGGCTCCCTCGAAGGTCCGCATGGGAGGAGATTCCCGCTTGATCTTCGGGTATTTGAGCCCCATTTCGTAGCTCTCCGCCGTCGATCGTGGGGTCCCTTCAGGGAGGGAAGGGTGGGGGTGGGGGGGGGAGAAAGAGAGACTTTCAGGATTCAATTCATTTAAGGGATTGCAGTCATGTGGACCAGAGACCAGAACAAATTTAATAAAAAAACAAAAACAGTAAATATCTCCAAAGAAAAAATTGTAGAATCAAAACAATAAATAACAAGATAAAAATCTACGAACAAATCCAGTCTGTCACGTGGTCCAACTCAGGGAGATCGAACTTAAGGCCCGGGGGCTGGACTAGAAGACCTCCAAGGTCCCTTCCAACTCTGTTATTCTAGTGTGGCTAGTAGGCCTGAGCACGTGTTGTCCTAGATCAGGGGTATCGAACTTAAAGGCCTGGGGGCTGGACTAGAACAGGGGCCGCCAACCTTTTGGACCGCAGGGACCACCCAACTCATCATTTTAAATCCCGCGGAGCAGAGACCCTGGGAAAATCCCCCAAAAAAGTCTGCAAGAAAACCCCCCACCACGTTTTCCTACCGATCGATCCGTTCTTTATTTGGGATCGCAGGATACCGTCTCCAGCTCCGTTCTCAGGGAGAGAGAGAGAGGGAGGGAGAGACTTTTGGCTTCGTGCAAGGAAAGCAGCAGAAGCCGCAGAAGTCTTTCTTTCTCTCCTCCCAAACTCCGCCAGAAATGAGTATTTGTGGGCCTCTTGGAGCAGGAGGCCTTGCAGGGTCCCCAAGACTCATTTCTGGCGGAGTTTGGGGGAGAGAAAGAAAGACTTCGGCTGCTTTCCTTGCCTGCAGCCAAAAGCAGAAGCAGCGGAAAGAAGCAGCCCGGTGGCCAGGCGAGGCACGCGGGGTGATTGGGGTAAGTTCCCCCCCTCCCCCTGACTACGTGTTGTTCACAATGCAAGCGACGTGTTCACGCAGGCCATGTGGGCAGTGCAGCCTTGTGTTCCCACGCAGCCTGGATTAATTGCTTTGGGGGTGAGGGGGACGTTTCTCTGCAGACCACCCAAATTTTCTCACTGACCACCAGTGGTTCCCGGCCCACTAGTTGGCAACCACTGGACTCGAAGACCTCCCAGGGCCCTTCCAACTCTTGTTATTCTGTTATGCTGTTGCTAGTAGCCCTGAGCACATGTGGTCCTAGATCAGGGATATCAAAGTCAACGTCCGCGGAGTGCTTAGATGGAACCGTCCTGCAAACAGCGAAGGACCGGCCCAAGGTGCCTCTGCCAGTGAAAACAGAGGTCATTTTGGCTAGCAGAGGGCTAGCAAAACAAACTAAAAAAAAAACGAAAGGAAAGGAGAAACATTTCACCTTTTGCATCTCAGCATGCCAAGCGTCAACTCAAAAATATTTCTCTGGTCTTTTAGAGTTGCCAGCAGAAAGGGAGCGAGGGATACAGTGCATTCCTTAAATGCTTCAGATCATTGCTGGGCGGCCGAAGCTTCTGGCGTGCAAGATTATTACTGGAGAGCATGATTGGAGGACTCTTGGCTATGGATGTGTCCCACTGGAGAATAGATATCCAGGGGGAAGACCAGGGTCAAGGGGAAAACGAATGATGGGTCTCAGAATCGGCTCCACCCAGGTAGCGCCGGCATATTCAACTCTTTAATAATTCTTCTAGATGTGCTCACTTCGGCAGCACATATAGTAAAATTGAAACACATTTACACTGAGACGATGGACGACCGCGTACCCCTAGTGCAGGGGTCTTCAAACTGGACAGTTTTAAGATGTGGACTTCAATTCCCAGAATTCCTCCTCTAAGTCACGTTAGCTCAGGAATTCTGGGAGTTGAAGTCCACAAGTCTTAAACTTGCCAACTGTCATGCCCCTGTTGGAATCTGATTCTGAGGGGGAGGTCGAGCAGCTGACAGGGAGTGGAGTGGGAGTGTGGCGATGGTGGCTGTGGAGGAAACTGGGGAAGGGCACAATCCGGCTGAGCATTCAGAGGAAGACCCAGGGCCCTCCCCTCTTCATCCTAGGGCAGGCAGAGAGGAATGGAGAAGGGAGCAACATGGCTTATGGGGGAGGAAAGGGCCCTGATCCCCTTCATTAGTTGCAGCCGGGAGAACAGGATATAAGAAGGGCATTTCAACACAGCACCTTGCTGGAAGCAAAGCGTCCATTATCTTTGTCAAGTCTTATCTGGGTTCTGGCATCCTCCCAAGTGTGTGTGTTTCTTTATCTTTTGACGTCTGCAATTCCTTATCCTGCCCTGCCTTGTTAATTGCTGCAGTGTGGTTTGTGTTGATTTTTATTTATCATATATATGTACTTTGGGTTCGGACTGAAATTCTTCCCTTTAAAGAGTTTTGGGAGGGTTGTGGACATTGGGGGGCCAAGTTGGAGGTATTAAAGGGGCTTTACCTATTTTTGTCCCTTTGTTGCTTTTTGCCACGCCCCTTTGGTCATCACACCAATTTTGAAGACCCTTGCCCTAGTGCGTCAAGTACTGGAAAAACTGCCGGAGCCCTGATACAAGGAGGGACAGGAAAGGAGAAAGGGAAGCAGGAGAGACAAAGGAAAAGGAAGGAAGATGGGAAGAGAGGAAGGAAAGGAAAAAGAAGGAAAGAGGGGAAGGAAGAAGAAAGGAGAATGAAGAGGGAAGGAAAAAGAAAAGGAAGGAGGGAGGGAGGGAAGGAAGGTGTGGAAGGAAGATGTGGAAGGAAGGATGGAGGAAGAAAGGAAGGAACGGAAGATGAGGAAGGAAAATAAGGAAGGAAGGAAGGAAGGAAGGGAGGGAGGGAGGAAGGAAGGAAAGGAAGATGAGGAAGGAAGATGTGGATGGAAGGAAGGAAGCAAGGAAGGAAGGGAAGGAAGATGAGGAAAGAAGATGTGGAAGGAAGGAAGGAAGGAAGGAAGGAAAGATGTGGAAGGAAGGGAGGGAGGGAGGGAGGAAGGAAGGAAGGAAGGAAAGGAAGATGAGGAAGGAAGAGAAGGAAGGAAGGAAGGAAGGAAGGAAGGGAAGGGAGGGAGGAAGGAAGGAAGGAAGGAAGGAAGGAAGGAAGGAAGGAAGAAGGAAGGCAGGAAGGAAGATGAGGAAGGAAGATAAGGAAGGAAGAAAGGAAGGGAAGGGAAGGGAAGGGAAGGAAGGAAGGAAAGGAAGATGTGGAAGGAAGGAAAGGAAGATGTGGAAGGAAGAAAGGAAGGAAGGGAAGGAAGATGAGGAAGGAAGATGTGGAAGGAAGGAAGGAAGATGAGTAAGGAAGATGTGGAAGGAAGGAAGGATGAAGGAAGGAAGGAAGGAAGGAAGGAAGGAAGGAAGGAAGGAAGGAAGGAAGGAAGGAAGGAAGATTATAATGAGAGGGAGGGAAGGTCTGAGAGAAGTCCTGCCTTAGCACTTGGCCAACACAGGTGCCTCCGACACGAGTGATGTCACACTCCCCCAGCCTCCCCCTCCAGGTCAAACACAACCCTGATGTGGCCCTCAGTGAAATTGAGATTGACACCCCTGCTCTATGACAATAGTACTGCGGCCGTTAAATGTGAAAAAATGGTCCTAAGTCACCGTTATAACTGCAAAATGACTCGGAAACCGCTTCTGCTTGAGCTGGTGAAAAAATAATACTGGAAACTTTGATTGTGGGTTTTATCAAATCGATTTTTGTTGTTGCAGTAGAAATAGCTGGTTTATAAAGGTCGTCCTCCACAACGGAGCCCAACACTTATGTGGTGAAGTGAGAAGTGTGTTAAGTGAGGGACTGGTTCTTCTGCCCCATTTTACAACATTCCTGGCCACGTTTTGTTCAGTGAGTCGCTGACATTGTTAAATGGATAGCACGGTCGTTAAGCGAACCTGGGTTCCCCGTTGACTTTGCTTGTCGCAAAAGGGGATCGCGTGACCCCCCGGGACGCTGACTGCGCCCACTGTAAATGCGCGTTGGTTATCAAGCGGTCCAATGTAAATCACGTGACCCCAGGGTTGTTAACTGAAAAAGGGTCGTAACTCCCTTTTTTTTCCAGTGGTGTTGTAACTTGGAACGGTCGCTAAACGAACCGGTGTAAGTCGAAAATTGCCTATACTACTACGTAAAAGACAGACGTTGAGCTTCAATGCTGTTACCTTATTCTACTGCACCCGAAGAGTCGGAAGACAATGCCTTTTTCTTTCTTTTTCCCTTCTTTTCTACCCTTCTCCCTTCCCTTTTTCCTCTTCTGTTTTTCCCATTTCCTTTTGTGTTTTGCATTATAAACTAATTTGTTTTTTTAAAAAATAAATAAATAAATAACTGAGAACGATCCCCGAGAATGAGCTGGTGTAAGTCAAGGACTACCTGTAAGTGGTTAGAATGGAGTAAGAGAACCGAGATGGAAAGGACCTTGTAGGTCATCTAGTCCAACCCCCTGCTCGAAGGTCTTTTCCTTACCTTGCATTATGGAGCCGGACAACACCGTCCTCTCCTTCATATCGGAGTGGGGGCTCCCTTGAGGCACAGCCCTGCAGATTAAGCCTAAAAGATAAAAAATGGTTCATTCTCCACACTATTGGAAAATTTCTCCTTAGTTCCAGGTTGCTTCTGTCCTGGATGAGTTTCCACCCGTTGCTTCTTCTCCTGCCTTCAGGGGCTTTGGAGAATAGCTTGACTCCCTCTTCTTTGGGGCAGCCCCTGAGATATTTTGGAAGGCTGCAATCCTGTCTTCCCCCGGTCCTTCTTTTCAGGAGTTTAATGAACGTCCCCGATTCCTGCAAACGAACCGGAAGCTGCTTTAAGCCAAGCTTACCTTCCAGAGGCGCCGAGACGGGAGATTCCCTCATCGACATCCCTTGCTTGATGTTTCCTTCCATGGCTTCGTACGTCCGTTTGAGGCTCATGTCGTGAGCGGTTCTTGGGCTGCGCGTTCCTTCCCGGACGTTCTTGATGGCTGTTGAGAAGCAGGCGAGAGAGACCCCAACGGAAGGGAGTTTTTTTTCTCTTGGATTCTCCCAGGGAAAATGGGAGATCATTTTCGATTGGAAGACAATTTGGGGGTTTTGCGGACGTTTCATGACCCAACTAGGTAACAACATCAGTGCTAGAGAAGAGGAGGACTGGGGTGGGGGGTGTTTCCGAGCTTTCTTGCTTCCTGGCAGACGTCTCGTGACCTAACTAGGTAACAA